ACCACTCTTCTTGGACACCTGGCTCCCCTCCCCTCTGGGACCTCAGTGCTTCCCTGACTATTCTCCTTAGCTCATTGAAGTCCACCCTCCTGAAATCTAGGGCTGCTGCCTTGCTGCAGGCCTTTGCCACCTTGCGCTGGATGGTGAATTCCAGCAGGCGATGATCAAGGTGTTTGTCTTTTTAAGTGTATGATTTGTTTTTTTTCTGGTTCTACGATGGCAACCCACCCTCCCAAAAGGAGTATTTTGGGGAGGGGGGGCAAGAGGAGGGACTTCCAGTGGCAATGGTTAGGGGGCAGGGCTCTAGTCCCAGTATGGCAACTGGGGGGTGACTGTCAAGGTGTGGGGCTACCCATGTGGCCCTTGACAGTTCACCAAAGCTCATTAAGTGACCCTCCAACTGAAATAATTGCCAGCCCCATACTACACAAACAAGGAAAGTGATAGGTACTCTTCCCAATGCAAAAAAATGATCAAACTGTTAGGGATTGCTTCCAAAGCCTTTCACTTGATTGTGGTCAACAGTGAACTTGTGGCCATCATCAACCTCAAATGCTCACCACTGACCATATGTTTCGTGTCTGGGGGAGCCCATTGATAAATTCTTTTTGCCTCCAGGGACAAAGGAAAGTGCTTCTACTTTATGTTCTGGAGCACTCATTAGCAACTCCAAGGTGTCTCCTTCCTACAGTAGAATCAGGAAATGCTTTCTGCCTTCTCACTGATTCTGTTAATTTCCCATAGTGATCAAACTAGGAGAGATGTGGCAGTACTATCTTTCTAGCTCCGTATTGGCCAAGGCAGTTCTGGTGCACAGACCTGCTGGATTTATCCATAGTGATCCCTAATCAGGCTCCTGCTCTGTCCAAACCTGTAAGAACAGGGCTCAGTTGTTTCATCTAGACCTGGTGTTGCTATGATTGGCAGTTTGCGTGGTGTTTGGCTAAGTACTGTTAAAAGGGACTCCTCGTCCTAGGTCCATGATCTGCTGGTAAAAGCATGAAACCACCCATAAGGAACATCTCGCCAAGTAGCTTGAGATTTTCTGTATGGGCAACCCAACATGAACTAGTAACTAAACATTATCACATATCCTAGACTGTTCATTTCAGTTGAAAAAATTTGGACTCTGTTTCAATTTGATCAAGAATTACCTGACAGCAGTGCTGACAATACTATCTTACAATGAAGTCACTTTCCATCTGTTTCAATCTGTTAGTATTGAGATTTCTCTGGGATCTGATGCATGTTTATCCACTAGTCATATAGCCCACCCTAACTTGGAATTTCAGCATAGAATTTCTGAAGTTTATGGAGCTGCTTCCCCAGAGGGCTTCATTCACCATTCTGCTCTTAATGATTTTCCTAGTAGGTAGCACCTCAGCTGTGAGATTAAACTAATTCCATGTATTCATGGTACAACCACAGCATACCTCACTTTACCAAAGCAAGGTGAAAAGTATTTCCATGTTGCTATCTGATTTTGACCAGAATGTGGTAGTCACCCTAATTGTATTTTTCCAAAGGTGTATTGGTCAAATGGGGAGAAGAAACCACTCATTTTAGAAGTATATTGCACTGTACACTAATGTATTGACAAGACAAAGTCTTTCAGTCTTTGTATGGCATGGGAAGCTGCTGTAAAAGCCAAGCCATTTCATCACAGAGACCGTCTAAATGGATAATTCGCTATATCATGCTGTTTAGCCAGCTGGCAGATATACCTTTCCTGCTGCCTGTCAGAGCTCAGGTAACATTTTTATTGTGTCTCCACAATATTTCAGTAGTTGAAATCTGCAAAGACATGGAGCAATACAGCCATGTTTGTAAAGCCTGATATGCTTGGAGATTCTTTAAGATGCAAGGGAGCAGTGCTTTTTCTCTTGTTCGATTGATGCAGTTGTCATCCCCAATTCCATTATCCTTAAGGGGTGGATATTTCTAGTCACCTACAATGGCATCTGCACTGATGCAGTCAAAGAACAGTTGCTTACCCCAAAGCAATTGTGAGTCTTCAAGATATCAGTAAGTATGGCTCATATATCCCACATTCCATCTACTCTTTCAGCATGGACTAGTGTGGACTTCACGTTGCAAGGGAGGTAAGAGACGCTATACCTACTATTACCTTTAGATACAAAGGGTAATTTACATGTGCTCTAGAGGTGTGGGGGGGTGCTTTAATTAGACTGGCTCTGAGAGCTGCTCTAATTAAAGCACTGCCGCATCTCCTGTATCAGCATCCCTGAACTTAAAAATGGCAGTGGGGGTACTTGAACTCAAGCGTGTTTGATGAGCTTTAGTTCAAGTGCCCCCACTGCCATTTTTAAGAGTGGGGAGACTGATACATGAGATGCAGGAGGCTACTGGAGCATGGCAATTGCCACACTCCAGCAGACTCAATTCACTGAGCCTGTTCCAAAACACTGGAATCCCAATGCATTGAAGCAGCCTCTATGCTCATGTATAGGCACCAGGTCCACAGGTCCAGATTATTTTACCTTTTAGGCGCATACGTGAATTTAACCACATAAGTGTAATTTTATTCCATACTGCTCAGACTCTTGAAAAACGACGAATATAAGAGGTGGGTGGGTTCTCCTCTTCCTCATTGTTTTTTTGCAACTCAGCCAAAAGGGTCAGATGATGGTGTGTTACAAAAATAGATGCAATCTGGATTTTCAGGAGCTTGAACAGGGTGAAAAATAATCTCTTAGGTGCCTAAGTCCACTCAGATATGTGATAGATGGAATAGAATCTGGCCCAAGGGAACTCAGGGGGTCTACACAGTTCCAGAGGACGTGGCTATTCAAAAGATTCTGTGTTCATTCCAACCATAAGCACAACTATAGTATCATCCACACTGAACATAGTGTCTTAAATAACTGCAGTTATTCTGGGATAGGTTAAAGTTCTCTTCCCATATGGGGAGAAGTATTTTTTTTTAATTCTTCCTTGTACTTGCAGATCTCTCTTGTGTTGTCAAAGACAGACTCCTTTTGTTCAGGAACCCAAATATGATACCAAAAAGATCTCAGGTAGTGTAAATGTTAGCGGTCTTTCTGAAGTGAATAAAATTACTGGGTGATTACTGGGTAAAATATGGAGTGGTTATTTTTCTACTGAAGAAAAAGGTAAACTGATGATTAACTATTACTATATTTTTCTGACATACAACATGCCCTGGAATATATTATCCACCTTGTTTCTGAAATGCAAAATGAAGGGGTAAAAAAGATCTTTCCTTGTAATAACTGAGTAGTAGTAACTATGGAGCCTGCTCCTTGTTGTAAAGGTGACTCTTAATTAAATTGAGATATAGCATAGGTCTGTTCCTGCTGGATAAAATGTTTATACATTACAGTCACTGTTGTTTGACAAAATAATTCCCAAAGGTGTTGTCATAATCTGTATTTTATGTATGCCTGGCCTGAAACAGTAAATTGGTAAATTACTGTCAGAGTGAGTTGGTGAGGGTTGTGGGTCTTTAAATGTAAACAAAATGTTTATTTCAGATTTAAAAATGAAAAGTATGGGCATAATGCAAATTATGTGAAAATCTTTACTCCATTTTGTGGGGATTTTTGCCTACATTTTTGTTTTCTTGTTATGCATCTTAGAGGAATTTTAGTTTAATAAAATAGTTAGATTTATGTAATCAATACAGATTTTAAAATGCCTAGCTTCCTATACTGGGTTTGGTATTGTTGTAGCTGTGATGGTCCAGGAAATGTCCAAGAGGCATTTTTTGTTATATCTTTTATTGGACTGGCTTTATAGCTGGGAGAGCTGTTGGCCAAGCTTTAAGGCATTAACTGTCCTTCTTCAGGTCTAACTTTTCATATGCATCTGTAAGAGATGGGGACCCATAAGGAGACAGTGCCCTGGAATAAATTTCTTTTAAGTTTTATGCCCAAAAGTAAATACTTTCATTTTCATAACTTGATTGTTTGTTGAGTGTGTCCAGAAATAATTTAATAGAAAACTTCCCTTATCTCTTAATTATAGAGATAAGTATTTAATTTTTAAAAATGTAAATTTTATGCCATTAATATAGATTTTATTATAATAAAAATGATGATGGAAAGTGACTATTTTTCAGCAGGTGAAAACTGATTTTTGCAATTGTTTTTTTTTCTATTTGTGTCCTTAATTGCATTTACCTCATTGATATGTCACTGTCATTAAAATTTGAAAGGTAGTTATAATTGTATGGTCCATATTAGCAGATTAAAATACAACAAGGCTTGTTAAAAGCACTTAACAGAAAAGCAAAAATGCATAAGGTAGAATGCTATGCAGTGTAGAGGGAGAGAAAATGCTCACATTAAACCATCCCCAAAACTGAGCAGAATGTGGTTTCCATCTGTGTTGTCATTTTCTCTTCCTCTCTCTCCCTCATTTTCCTTTACATAGAAGAAAATATGATTTAATTACAGATTTTAAAAAAAAGTCAGAAGATAAGCAGTAAACCTGAAAAGCCTGAGTACTAATATTTTACTAATGAAAAAATCTGCCAACCTTAATAGTTAGGAAAACACTGATTGCACCCTGTGTCTTGGATGTCATTAATGTTATGCTGGGATTTGTGGTGACTAGCCAAGTCAGAGCATTTGCGCTCTACTGTGATGCAGTCAGCTGATGAGTTAATGCCACAGCTTGTAGGAATTCAGGAACCATTATTTAGAGGAATTTTAAAAAGTCACTAATTCTCAGTATTGCTAAACAAGACAGCTGATGGTTCATCTTATGATGAGATGTTAACAACTATCCTGGATACATAGGAAAGTTCTGTACAAAAAAGTTCTGTTTTACGATCTGCTGACAGAGTAGCATCAGGGACAGATATTTGAACCTTTGAAGCTATGGGTTTATGCAATTTAGTTAGAATTTAAGTACTAATAATGTCCTAACTCTGACTGGAAAACATAGCACCTTTGTAACTAGAATCCAGTCTGTTGTACCCTATGCCACATTGGCCCCAGAAAGCATTAGTTTTAAAGATGATGTTAGTGGAACTCAATTATTTGATAAAGTTGTAAAAGTTACTTTTAAAGGTAAGACTACCACTACGTTGTCTCACTTCACTATTTTATGTAAAAAATGAACACAACATCAACAGCCTTGTTCACTGAAATTCATTGGTTTTCATGGAACAGAGTTTTAAATCTGTTATTTGAGGTTAAAGACAAGTATTTTAGTTTCTGAATGTGTCTTTTCCCTTTACTGACCAGCTTTGACTTGCTCTGAATTCTTCTTAGGAAAGGAATAAGTTTTGTTTCTCTACTAAGGAGAAGGTGTCAAAGTTGTGATGATTCTGCCCTTCCTGTATTGCCAACTGTTAGTGGAGTGTCCTCAGCTGGAAGAGTCAGCATCTTGCTATGTGGAAAGTTTAAGAATTGCTATTATATGCCAATCTTCCCTTCCTTTAGAATATGTTATGCTAAATCTTTACTACAGTGGTCACCAACCAGTCTATCAGTATTGACTAGTAGATCCCGGAGCCGCTTGCAGTTGATCCTGGGCTGGGAGGGCTGAGTACACATGTATGTGTGCCCAGGCAGCTCATCCAGGGGCAGGGGGGCAAGCTCCCACCACTGTGTGCACCCCAGCATGTGCCCCCCATCTGTGCCCAGCAGAAGCAGCTCCCGCTGCGGGCTGGGCTTTGCATCCTGAGCCCTGCTGCAGCTGGCCCAGGAGTGGCCTGACTCCATGTGCATCCTGTCCTGGGCTGAGCCTTGTTGCCTGCCTGCCTGGCAGCCAGGTGCACATGACATCAGGTCTCTCCCATGCCAGCTGCAGCAGGGCTTAGGGTGTAAATCCCAGCCCACAGCAGGAGTTTCCTCCACAGCACACAGATTGGGGGGGCATATGCCCCCCCAAAGTGTGGGGCAGTGCAAGTGGCTGCAGCAGTGGTGAGAGGGAGTGGGGCTGGAGCAGGGGCAGGCCTTGCACAGCTGCAGTCGGGCAGATCAGAGCCACTAGTGGCTCATCTGGGGGTGCAGGGAGGGGGTGCATGCAGCCCAGGAAAGCACAGGGGGGGCGCATGTCCCCAGTATTGCATGGGGCAGGCTGCAGCTGCTGGCTGGGGCTGTGCTGTTCCCAGCAGAGGCTGGAGCCATGCTGCTATTGGGCAGGGTGGCAATGGCACTGGGAGCAGGGCCATGGGGGGCTGCAGCTACCCAAAAATTTGCTGTAGCCCCCCAACCCCCTCCCAGGGTTACCGCCACCTGGCCCAACCACAGTGCAGCCCAGCCTCCACCAAGAACAGCCCGGTGCCACTTCCCAGCCCCTTCCCCCCAGCATGGGGGCCATATGCCCTGGATCTGTGTGCGGGAGGGTAGGCTGCCACTGCAGGCTGGGGCTGGGAGGTGGCACTGGACTGTTCCTGGTGGAGGCTGGGGCCACACTGCAGTTGGGCCAGGCAGAGGTGGCAGCTCTAGGAGAGGGTTGTGGGAGTTACAGTGAATTTTTGGATGGCTGCAGCCCCACTCCCAGCACCACCACTGCACAGCCCAATAGCAGCATGGCTCCAGGCTCTGCCAGGAACAGCCCAGCCCCAGTCAGCAGCTGCAGCCCATCCCACCCTGCACAATTCTGGGGGCATGCACCCTCCTCTGTGCCCTCCTGGGCTGCATGCCCCACCTTCCCCATGCCCCCCTGGACGAGCCACTCACAGCTCCATCCTGCCCCACCCCAGCTGTGCAGGCCCTGCCCCTGCTCCAGCCCCACTCCCTTCCTCACCGCCATTGGGGTGGTGCAGATTGAGGCCCCAACAGTGAGCGGGGGGTGAAACTAGGGCTGGGGCCTCGATCTGCCCTGCCCCCCAGCCTCTTGCCCTACAGACTTACCTGCTGGTGGGGGGGTGTACCCCCAAATAATTTTTTCTTCCTCTGCCTTGATCTGCACCCCCTTCCCTCCCCACAGACTTACCTGCTGTGGTGGAGGTAGATTTTGGGTTCATTTTAAATTCCAAAAGTGATTGCTAACTTAAAAAGGTAAGAGACCGCTGCTTTAATATAAAGTGAACTATATTTTAAATTTAATTAGGGGTACAAGAAATCTTTCTTTGGAGCTACTCTCTTTCAAGGCTTCTTGTACATTTCTCTGAATCATCTGGTACTGGGCAGAGGGCAGTGGAATTATTAAATTAAAATGGATTATAGAACCTTGGGTCTAATTTGTCATGACAATTCCTATATTCATAAACTTTTTATCCATGGCTCTTTAAACTTTGTTTTTGTTCAGAGAAATGATGAGGCCTTTGTGAACAAGAACTTCATCATCAGTGTACTGTTTCCATCTACTAAAAGGAAGACCCACAACCACCATCTGGACTTGCACAAAAGATTTTTTTGTTTAAACAGTTCAAAAAATTCTCTTAGAGAACTGGCATTTCTAGTCAATGATTAACACTTTTGTCTTCTCCCTGAATAGCATACAACTCTAAGTTTTTACATCAGTAAACTTCACAACTGTTCTTAACTAAAAAGACTGATGCAGAAACTAACAAATTCCTTGGCTCCATATATTGCTCTGTTAAGCTTTACTGACGTCTGTGAGGCCTACAAAGTAGGATTATGAGGATTAATCTGCCTATCTGTCCTAAAAATATCATTTTTAAATCACACAACTACAACCTGTTATACAGTTTTAGGTAGCCCTAGCCAATTTCTTAAGTTCTTTATTTGTAACATGTAACCTGTCACACTAGTCACAGGTAGGTGATTGCCTTTCAGGGATGAAGTAATCACCTATACCTATGTGTATAAAACACACTGAGGTCATGGTACCTACAGGGTAATACCTAACACTTATATTTTAGCAAGCTGGTTGATATGAAAATTTGCCATCTTTGGCCAGAGCTTTGGTTCTTGCCTTTAAAATTTGTGGCAACAGCTGAAAAACAAAGAAACAAACTTTACAGAAGAACAAAGTAGATTTGCCTTTTATGGGAAATCTGGATTCAGTGTGTTTTGAGTGTTCTTTTAGAGTTTTTAAAAGTTTGGGTCAAAATAGTATTGCATAAATTTTAAACCAAAGACACACATTTATTCTGTCTATTTTAGTTACTTTCACAACGGTTCTATTTTTGTTATAAGTTAATTTTTATACTGATATAGTGTCTGTCCTGACTATCACTGTTATAATTAGACTTGGCAGGATTCAATTTTTGTCGATAAGCATCAATAAACATTCATTTTCATCTGACACTCACAGATGGTGGCAAAATATTTCATAATC